ATATATGCGTGTACACGTGTGTGTATAAACGTGTGTGTACGTGGGTATATATGTATGTCTATATGCTTCGAAAAAGTTGAGTGCATGTATACCAGGCACCTCATAAAATTCTGTGTATACAACTGCTACGTTCACCAGTAACCGATGATATCGATATCTTAAATTAGCCCCGGACACAAACAAACTATCCAGGAGTATTCTTCTGTTAAGCAATGACAAACCAAACTCCGTCGAACAATATAGATGGGAAACATACGCTGTGACCAAAGTAACCGCCATCGCAGTACTCATCCAGCTTTGCTGAAACAGGTGGGAAAACTTCCGTTACCAGCTTCAAACGGAATGCCTTTTTCTCCTCGGCGTCCTGAATAGCGAAGCTTTCGATAATTTTCAAGTAATATGATTCATCGATGACCTGCAATACCTCGTCTACACGCAGAGCCAGGAGTTCATCACTGGGATATAAGTTGGCTTTCTTGCCGGCATATCTCAGAATAGCAAATCCCTGGGTGTATACTGTACCGTCCACCTCAAGAAATGGTACTTTTCCGAGGGGTGTGGTTGATTTGATGCTAGGCCAGTCTTTGTATGAAACCCGCTTGTCTTCATAAGGCACGTCACCATAAGCGAAGGCGATACGGATAGGTTCCCCTCGACCCTTGATATCAAAATATGTCAATTTTAGTTTGTTCGACATTCTGATGTTAACTACCCGAGATATATGCGAGTGATTTTATTTGTACTACTATTTATCTCTAATATACAAAACTAATTCATAATGTAAGCTACACCTCGGTTCCTTTTTTTAAAACTACCAGAGAGCAGGTATTGTAGAATATGTATCTAAAAGCGAGTCTAGCCTTCCAGTATTTCACAATGAAGTTGACATCAAATACCAACCACAGTAAACATATATTTGCATCCCCAGACGCAGTGAAGTTAAACACTAAACACGTAATAAAAATAGACAGACGAAACCGTATTTGGCAAATACATACACATGATATATGGAGCGTTACCAGTTTCAACCAATGAATTTCACTTTATGGTCAAAACCCTCTATCTATATTTCAATCATGTCTCCAACATGATGCGGACTCGCGGACTCGCGGACGGAAACTTGAAAGTTGAAAGCGTTTTTGTAGATTTTTTATTGGCTGTTTAACTTTTTAGATCACAAAAAAATAACAACTCAATATGTACACACTAATGATTCAATGACACCGTTCGCGATTTTTTTTTACATATCGCTACTCTATCTACCATGTAGAGTAGTAGCGAGAGAGAGAGAGAGAGAGTCTACTCTCTAGAGTAGACTACAGTCTACACACTCTACAGTCTCGACTACTCTTTCTCTCTCTACTCTGACAGTACATAAAGTGTTGACAGTTCGTGTTCACAGTAGACACTGCAAGTGCAAAGGGTCTTTTACCCCAGCAGGAGGCCAATGTTCACAAAATGTACGCAAACGCAAAATTTGAGGGGGGTGGTCTCTAAGCTCTATCTGCCCAAAAAAGCGACAGGCAGAGAGACAAAAATGCAATGGAGTCTGGAGTCTGGAGTCTGGACTCTCTTGGGGGACTTCACAGAGCTCACGTTAATATATTTATACATACCCTCTACCATACCCTACAATCTATATAGACTATACAGGATCACTACATCCACAAATATATATATGATATGGCCACCGCGTCCACAAATATGCTATATACATTCACCAAATCTACAAGTATGTCATATACAAGGTCACCACATTTTCAAATATACTATATACATGATGGCCACTGCATCCACAAAAATACTATATCCATGGCCATTATATTTACAAATATACTATATACATGGCCATCATATCCACAAATACACTACATACATGGGTGACCACAACCACAAATATACTATATACAAGGCAATCACGTCCGCAAATATAATATATACAAGGCCATCGTGTCCGCATATATACCGCATATATACTATATACAACGCCATCACGTTCGCATATTAAAATATACACGGCCTGGTAGCTACCACACCCATATATATACATCTATATTATACACATGACCACCACATCCACTTACGTATGTATCACCTCCACCCATGCATGATATCACGTTGTAGAAGGCAAATAATTATTATCAGCATACTCGAGAGATCTCTTCAATGTCAACAATTAGGAGCCCAGTATTAGATGAACAACAAAAAAAGTACAGCGCATCACGGTGCACTATACAAATAGCAAGCCTATTAAAATTATTTGTTTCGCATGTGATGTACATATATATATTAAATTGACGCAAACAGTCGAGCAGTTTGGCGTTTGTTGCCACTTGATTGTTTTTCAGCAAATCAGATGGAGACCGAGCCAAATCGTCCATGTGTTCGATAACTTATATATTTTTCTATGTACTCCTTATGTATATAAATATTCGGAGCAAACGTTCTAAGGGACGAAAATGCCTGAGTAAGTAACCTAGAATTTTCGTATCCACACCAGCTGGAAATGATTAAGTGACAAAACCGGTTCGCTATTGTGTTGGCAATCACAAAGTCGTATGAATTGTGATATTTATCTCTGTAATAACCTTCTAGATTGAAACACAAATGGATGTAATTGAATCGTACAATACTTTAAACATCAAAAGGGCTCCCGAGGTCGACAATGATATTACTTCTGGAACTACAGTAGAAGTATGTACGGCTTGTTGACATAGTTTCCAGCTTTGTTCCACAGGCCAGACATGCAAGTCCACGGGTAATTCGGTATCAAGGCATTTAGTTTTTGTCATACCAGCCCAGTTTTAGAGAGAAAATATATACAATCGGAATTCTTTAATCAAGTATATCAACTGTAGTGCACTGAGGAACACTAGCGAACTTGAACATCTGGCGATTAGGATCATTCCAAACCATCCCTGTCCCTAGCCGCTTTCTTCAGAACCATTTCTTCTATCTCAACGAATTCCTCCGGATAATCAAGATGCACCTGTAATGGCCAGTGAGTAAGTTTTGATTGCGAGAATTATGCAGATGACCCAGATGATATGCACAACGCACTGCTACATCTGTAGTAGTAAGTGAGTGAGTTTTGATCTCAAGAAATATGCAGATGGCCCAGAATATATGGAGAACACATTACTAGCTCCACACATGCTACGTCACAGCACAGGCAAAGAAAGCCTTAAGTTGCACCTGTAGTGGCAAATGAGTTAATTTGAATTGCAAGATTTATGTAGATGACCCAGAAGATATTGCACAACATGGCAGAGCCGATATGACAAAAAGCAGAATCGCTGTATAAGCGACGAAATTTAAAAGGAATATCAGCGGACTCATTTCCTCCATACAATACAAGAGCCGTGTGAGCTCCCAAGGCCATCCAACAATTCAATCCTGTGCGGTCGGTAAGTACTATCGTCATTATCAAGAGTACAAAATATATTATATATCTTTCATTATTATCATTATAATATTCCTGATCACTTTGATGATATCAGAATCGTATAGAAAGTCCTACCTTGCTCTTCTGAGACATAGTCTTCAGTTTCTGCACCTCGTCGTGGACATCCACAGCGAAATCGCCCATATCCATACCCTGCTTGCGATACAGCTTGCCTGAGAGTGAATAACACATAAATGACATCAGATTCCACGGCATGGACGCTATAAGAGTTCATGTTTGAACAGTATGCTTCCGACAATAGTGTGTACAGGGCAAGAATAAAATATATACGTATTCCCTACACGATCTACCGCGGGATTCACGAGTAAAACTCGTACAAACTTCTTCCACATAGTGCAATGAAAGGCGCCTGTCTCTAAGTTGGCGTGAGTGAGCACAAGCACCTCGAAACCTCGTCACCCACCTTCTTGTACTGCGCGCTTCAGCAGCTTGCAATATAACTCGACGGACTCTATATTGTCGTCATTCCCAGGAATGGAGTATGTGACTTGAGTAGGGTCTTGATCGCTGTTTATAAAGTCAAAGTTTTGGATATCAGTATGCGAAGAGTCGGCTAATCTTAAGTGTTCACGATAAAGTATTTACGGTCGATTGGACCAACACAGAGGCAACAATAATGATCCATACCGGGAAGGCCAATCATGCATCAGCATTTTTAAATTCATAGCTACTCATATTATCAAAGAACGGCCACTAGTTTCAAGTACAATCATGTCACAGTTACATACACTAATCCTATATAGCCATACAGTCTGCCCGGTGAGTCAATAAGGAAACGATAGAATAGCCGTCGGGATGTTGCGTTATGAAGTAAGCGTACATTCTTGCAGAACTTATGCAAGCAATGATGAAATGGAAGACCAACTTACGAATCTACGATGCCGAGTGAAGGGATGACGGAGTAGTAAGACTCGCGCAGCGCCACTTTGCTCACAGGCAGTGTGATGAAAATCATCAGATCAGGTTTGATCTCCGCTCCAAGTGTCTGCAATACAAGCAAAATTCAGAGATATTGGCAACGGTGTATCAAATCAGAGGCACGCAGCATCGAAAGAAGTAAAGTGAGAGCACGTTGCAAAAACAAATAGAGGCAACGCGTGGCTGTGAGTGTATACATACCTGTACACTGTTGGTCAGTGACCCTGGTTTATACTTCTTGGTGACGTAGTATTCGCCACACTGGATGGCCGTGTGTCTGATCACCTTTTCAAACTGGGGTCTGTTACCAATGAACAGGATGATGCCGCCTGCATGAGCCACTCTCCTTACAACGTCCAGTGCGCGTCTCAAATGCGCCATCTACAAACATCAGGTAAAACAATGCGGTGGAGAGAGGATTGATATTTCATAGACGATAAAATAAGTGAGCACAAGAAGGAGCCCAACAATTCTAAAGCTTAAAGTTAAGCAATCCGACTCCGTCGGTCGGCTGACTGCGCGCAACAGTAAATTACACCGCAGACAATATCGACGAGGAACGGCGATGGACCATTTTCGCGAGATCTATAGGCATTATGGGCTTAGTTTGCGGCTAATATTACATATCCATCCCACCGACATACCGTTTGTTCTAAATCGAAGATGTGGGTGTCATCTCTGACACCGAATAGATACGGCTGGATCTTGGGATGCCACAATGTGCGGTGATGACCAAGGTGCACTTTGGCCGCTACCAAGTCCTCCATGGTGAAAGAGTTGAGAACAGAACCCGATCGTACTATGTCTTTTGTGAGCACCACACCACCACTGGACACTTTATGACTCTTCCTCGCTGCCGTGTTTGATCGAAGAGACGATAGTACTTATTTTAATGCAAGTATGACAGCTTGTGTATTTGAATGTGATTCAATCGAAATTCGTTATTGATTTGACAGGTGAATGCATCGAAGTTTGTAAACGATTGCAGCAAAAAGGTTCGGGTTACTACCGATATCAACACAACACTCACTTATCACGAATTGCACTACCTGCAAGAGTAGTTGATAACAAATACGGTACATGTGCATTCGCCTAGCACTCACAATCCGTATTTTTAACACAAAAAACCTGTACGAAAGAGCCCCATACCGCCATCACTAGCACACCTATACAAAATAATGTCCGCACAATATTTACTCATTGGAAAGTGCCAACAGTATTCTACTACGTGTGAAGGCACGATAGGTGGACAGCTCAAATAGAATGCGGTTAGGGGTGGGTGAATACGTATGTATATATAAGTATATATATATATATTTATATATATATACATACATA